GTTAATGGGGTATAGCTGCCTAAAGCGGGTCTTCTCCATGGCAGCAGAGGATACAACGCATGTGGCACTTCTTTGGACCAATGTTACCTTTCTTTCTTATAAAACACTGACTTCAGTGTATTTCAATCCATACACGCACCTCAGCGGCACCATGTGCTACAAAATCTTGACATATATCCCCGCTAGCATTGCCCTAATGGTCTCGTAAGTACGCGCGCAAGTCTAAAGTGCACATATGACTTACCGCACCCACAACAATGACACGTCTGCCTCGGAACTGCTCTGCATCTTTATGGAAGTCGGAATGATACAAGGCTCCTTGGAATCCATCCATTCCATTCCAGGTAGGAATGCGAGGGCTCCCGCTTCCTGTGGCAAGGACCAGATGCTTTGGATTGAGGATGACTTTCTGATCTCCATGCTGTACTTCTACAGTCCATCTGGCGGTTAATGAGTCGTATATTGGAGCCGAGGTCATGGTACTGGAGAGCCAGATACATAATTCCTGATGAACAGCGTATGACTCCAGAAAATTGGCAAGTTTCCCCTTAGGAATGTACTTCGGGAAGTTTGTCCTAACATCATTGAGATATGCAGTACCTTTGAACTGTAGAAGGCACATACGGATAGGGACTGTAAAGGACTGTGTATTCATTAGTACCAAACATGTGAAAAGATAAAAAGACATACTGGAGCTTTGGTACGCGGGAGTATGCAGCGTAAGGTTTGGGTACCTGTGATTCGCATCATTTAATAATGAAGAAAATATACTATTGTTTGCATATACCGTTGTCGCCAGCAGTCTCCGACACGCGCATCTTCGTCGATTATCAGTGCACGAATCCCCAACCTGCGCAGCCGCGCTGCAAACATAAGGCCAGATTGTCCACCACCAACTTTTATGACTTGTCAAGACACTACGATTCATAAAAGAAACGGCACACCGATCAGAACAGTGGGGTCCGCCTCGATAGCACGGAATTTTGCGTCGACATCCTCCTCCCAAGTTATTGTTCGACCCTCGTATAGGCCGTGTTGGTCTGCGAAAGACTCCTCGTACCCGACGAGGTCCTCCATGTTTATGAAAAGAGTTAAAGCCTTCCACTTCCCATCGGCATCTTGCGTCAGACGGAAGAAACCTCGTCCGAGTGCAGCTGGGTTCGTAATGCTAAAGGTGAAAGCGCCTTGTACTCCTTCGATGCCTTGTGAACCTGGTAATTTGAATGGTGAAGGCGCATTGATAGTGTGATTGTCTATCTTGAAATCACGAAGGCTAGAACGCTCAAGTCGCGACTTTCCATCAACAACCTCCGAGAGAAATCCGCAAATTTTTTCCAGACCTGATAGTGTTCTGTGATCCCAAGAAAAACATAGAAGATCTGAGAGTATTTGTCAGTGCGCCTCACTTACTTGGACAAGCACTGACCTCTGAACCACCCGTCCGCAACGAAATGGCTCACAAATGACATAGCATCTCCAGTGGACGACGCGATCTCTAAGCTTTTGAGCCAGTCAGCGGAGATTGCGTGAAGGTCCTCTGTAGCCATGCTTATACACCGGTAGATAGTGAACGTCGAGTATAGGCTACGTCCCAGGTGTATAAACTGGATGGAGTCCTTGAAACACTGAATGAAGAATAGAATTCTCCAATTTACACTGGTGACTCGCGCACAATACGTGATACCACGACATGAGCTATCAGTTGTCCCGCTACTAATAGATTATCCACTTCACTTGCCATGTTTCTCCGAGTCACAGGCCAGCCTCAGCATAACGGTGCCCAAGGCCCCAAACGGATAGGCACACGGTGTTAGTAGGTCACTAGGATGCATTTAGCAGTCCTTGGTTGATCTTGAAGATGAAGACTCAGAAGAGTATACAGCTACTCTGCTGGCAATCAAATTTAAATCCGGCGTAGTCAAAAACAAATGTCCAATTTTTTGAAATTTCTGTATTACATAATGTTATATCTACGCCGCTTTCGCTCGCTGAGCTGGATTGGTGCCAGAAGGTTCCGTTTTCCGGCACGTAAGAGGGTTCTTTTGACAGAACATGTCGACTTCTCTTTTTGAATTCACCTGTCTCACTGTTCCTTTGACTCTCTCGTCGGTGTGGTTTTCCGTCGCTATTGACTACATGCACATCATCTAAATTGTCCAGGATGCTCTTAGTAAAGATGCCTTCCCGCGTCGTTTGAGTATTGGATGTGGCCTTTGTACTGCCATTCACAATCATTTATGCGATTACCCTGATTATCATGATGCACTTTATTACCCCACTATCATCCCGCAATTTTTGCACTTGTGAGTCTCATCATCGCTTCTGCTTCTCGTATTATCTTTTGTTCACGGGTTGTGTTTCATTTGATGGGTTTGTCTGAATTAACGATGGTTGACTGTAGCCAGAAGGCAGTAGGTAAAAAGTTCCAACCACGGACTCGGGGATTGGCCGCTGCCAACGATTTAGATCTTCGACGTTACATCAGTGACAATGCCCGTGTGATGGATTTTGCCAGTCGGTGCATCACTCGGAGTCGGAATGGCAAAAACTAAAAATTATTGGGTCTGGCAAGCCACAGTCGATGGATTGCCTTGAGTGTAGTATTATAACAAGAGGAAGTAAGGGTATTCAAGCCCGTTGCTTTGATGTCAAACACGACACCTTCAGCTCCTGAGCCCAGGTCTGGGAAAGGTTATGGCATTCAAATCGTGTCTGTGTTCTATTTGCATCTCTACCTCCCGCGTGGTATATCGCTGACCTGACAACGAACAGATCCCATACATCATCAGGTCGCATCGGAGAGAAACAGACAACCTCCAAATCCCTGCCAGACCCACTGAACGCAGTTGGAAACATAGATGCTCACGACTTCGCAAGGCAAGATGCTGCAAAGCTCGTCGTCCCTTAGTATCACTGCATGCTTCACACCTTTGAAACAGAAGTTTTCGATGGTAGAAGGAAAATTCGGAACACAATAAAGAAGCTCCAGGAGATGCCAAGAGGAGGAGGATAAATCAAAGTCGAACCACACCACCTACGAAGAGTACAAATCAGATTTCTTCAAGTCTGAGACTGCGGCTTCAGAGGATCATGATGATGGACCTACGAAGATTGAAGATCTAAACTCGACCTATCCACTCTCGGCGGCCCATACACCCACCATTCGGAAGTGAGAAAAGCTCTCTGCTACTAGTACGTCACGAGAAACAAATGTTACTCTCTTGAATAACCGTACCTCCCAGAATTGTTCGCATCGGAGTTATACAAGGACATGGTACTCTGATCAGCTCGCGCGTCAGGGTGAGTCAAATGCCAGCGAGCAATCCCAAACTTAGGTGCCTCGCCAGCTCAGGTGGTCATGGATCCACGTCAAGAAGCATCACAACCTTGGAGCTCTGTAATTGTACCTTCGATTGCGTGAAACTGTGCCACTGGCACGGACCGTTGGCATCTGTTTCCAGTACTAATATGTGAGTATCAGATACACACTCATGTACATGTACAAAAATGCTTTCAAAACTCAATACCATCAGCTGAGTTGCAACTAAGCGATCATGTCCGCCTAATGATGACATGCTGTCTCTGTTTTTATGTGAACTAGATTACACAGTCACCGATTGTCAAGATTGCGAATGCGATATGAGATAGAAGGTCCCTATGTGTCATGCTTAAGGTGAGCCTAGAGTAAATCCGAGTCCTAGTGCTGAATCTGATGTGTTTGGGTATGGTTGAAAAGCGATCGTCACGATAACAAATCCCAATGGTTGTCTTAGTAAACGGTTGATGTTCAAAGAAGTGACAATTGAAAGATACATGTTACACCCTGCCTAGCTTTCACAATCTTGGTCAATCTTTCGATCTGACGAAGCCAGGTGAAGTTGGGAGCGCTGGCCCCTAGTTTACAGACATGTTCGGTTATTAACAGTTCACTAGCTGGGCAGGCGACGAGCGTTGAACGTTTTGAACGTTCCTGCAACTTGCATTGTACGCAGCCCATCAGTGAACTGGTGATCGGACTAAACTTTGACTTTAACAGTTGATTCACCCCAGAACCGGCGGAGTCAGCACTATTTATGTGCTATAGCAAAAAGATATTGCAGTCGCGCGTCGCGAAATGCGTCATGGCCCATATTTGCATATACCTACTTGCGACCGTAACCGTGATTCGACTCCCTACAAGTATGGTCCCACTGTTTCGATCCAAACGTCGTCTACCTTAACAGGCAGATCAAATCTCAGTGCTGACCGTCGTCGTCTCCTCTTCTTTCACTTGAGCGTATTGTCCGCCTCCAAGCTTTATGAACAAAAGAGACTTGATGCCCATGCCTGCACTCTACTTCAACGATATTGGGTAAGTCATATTTCCTCTATTTCTCCTTCAGAGCGCTCAAAGTATAAAACGCAGAGGTGGCAGTCAAGTAACGCCACGGCCCTCTCTGGTCCTGCGTGTCTACATTATGTCGGACTATCAAGAGACTGCATTCTTATGAGGTGCCATCGACACTTGATCGACACCCCTGCAATCTGGATGCGGGACCTCGTTGCGCCTGAGAACACGACTTGGAACCTCGAGCGCGATGTGGCCACTGGACATTACACGATCATCCAGGCTTGATTAAGGAATGCGACATCAGTGCAATCAAACACCTGTTTTGTGAGGTCTGCATCTCAGTTTCACAGCATCCACGAATGACCTCACTTATGTAGTTATTAGTGACATAACTGCGCCAGAAGCCCCCGACTCGCTTATTCCTGACATGTTTTGTGTCCATGGAACTAGTCTTATATTTCATTTTGCGTTGGCAAATTATTACCGGGACCTTGACATTCACTCATGGACAGTTATTTGGAGGTTCGTCTCAACTTGGGAAGTATCCTGGCCAAAGTGAATCGAAATCTATTTCTCTTAGATTGCGCAGGCTCGAAACTTGCCGACAAGTTTTTGTTTTTTCATTCTCTCAGAATACACCTTGACATTTACTCATAGGTTCATGAACTAACAGGTCTTAGCTAAGTGGTTACTACAACAGAATCAAAATCTGTTTCCCTTCGATTGCGCAGGTTCAAAACCTGCCGGTTTCTTTCTATCGCAATAAGCCCTGGTGTTCACTCATGGATAGTTTCCTAGAGGATTATCCCAACTGGCCTTGGCCAAGTGGTTACTAGAACAGAATCAAAATCTGTTTCTCTTCGATTGCGCAGGTTCGAAACCAGCCCGTTTATTTTCTATCGCAATACACCCTGACATTCACTCATGGATAGTTTCCTAGGGGATCATCCTGACTGGCCTTAGCCAAGTGGTTACCACACCAGACTCAAAATCTGTTTCTCTTGCACTGCGTAGGTTCAAAACCCACTAAACGAGAAGCTTTTTTTAAATCGGAACACACCTTAACATTGACTCATTGACTGACTCGTGGATGGTTTCCTCGGATGTCCATGTAAATGATCTTAGCCGAGTGGTTACCACAACAGAGTCAGGATCCGCTTCCCTTGCAGTTGATTCGACACCTGCGTATAGATCCTCGGAGGTCTATCTTAAATTAACCATGTCCAGTTAGTCTGTCCATGAAAAGGAATTCACCTTCACGCCTCGCGAGGCTCGTCTCAGAAACATAAGATATATCTCCAGATCCGAGGTGTCGATTCAGACAGACAGACCATTTTGAAACTGTCGGTATTCACCACCAAATGAAAAATGCCATTAATGAGGCCGGAGGCCAGAAGAATGCACGCGAGCTAAGGATAGAGTGAGTCTGACAGTCAGGAAAATGTTAATGATGTAACCTCCCCAACCTCGCTGAAGCCTCATCGATGCACAGCGGTCCTTCGGTCGTTGGTTTTTCCAATGCGACGAGGATGACTTGAAAGCTAAAGGTGGAAGAATTGAAGTGGCAGACCGAGCTATATCGTCTTGATGTGTGTAGTTTGCATGCGCTCCTGTATTATGTCGATACCGAGGCGGGACAAAAATTTATTTACTTCCGATTGCCCCGGCTACCGGACAGAGCGGTCGACACGAAACTCTAGAACACGCCATAACGGAAAGCTCGAGACACTATGCAGGAGTGGTCCACCGAGGCATGCATAAAGGAAAAAGCGGCTCAGACAAGCCTCTACTTAACAAACAAATGTAACCGAAAAGGTCCGAACACGGGTGAAGCCGGTAGAGGTTTTGGCGGCGATCTCCTCGTGACCAACGTTGAGAGTCGGGGACTACCTTGTCGCATATCATTTTCACTTGTGAACTACTTCAATGCCCCTATCTAAGGATAGGCTCACCAGCGAGGACTTTCCATTGGCTACACATCACGTTACCCGTCTACCGACTTGGTCACTACTAAGTCTAGTCTACACTCGACCTCTGCCCTGCATGCCTAACTGGACAATCATATCTCCGTGCGAGACACGATATGTCCATCCAATGCAGATGAACGTATTCAGGGTCATGAAAACCGTTGTTCGCATGTTGTACCCGTCAGTTCCAGAGAAGCTCTCCACAGTCGATGATTTAGGAGGATACACCGCAGTTCTCGGATACGCATTCTCACAGGATCCCCCAGACCTATCAGGCCTTTTCCTCTCTTTCGTTGCCTCATGGATGGATTCATGCATTTTTGTCCAATTCCGTGATATGGATATGCAGATCCAAAACCATACACATAACGTTCCCGTCCCCAGCGAGCTCACGCCGGTCATCATGGACATATATGAGTTCGCCCTCGCGAGGTCCGATATATGCTCTCGTCAGTGGGACACAGAGACGGAGAGTTACTTTGCGCGTAGGATATGGAAGCAGCTGCAAGTGGAGGTAAGTATTGATTTGTATTCTTACACTATCATGATTTGAATTGACTGCGGTAGAGATATCATCAACGTGTTTCACAGCAACAGGTTCCTGGTGGCACAGACACTAGATTACCACCAGCCTTCTGGAAGTGCTCTATATGTACCTCCGATCTCATCCATTGCAACAGCTGCCAGATTGCATCGTGCGAGTCGCGTGATTGTCGTGGATCTTCTGAACCCCCGCTCGGGCGGTGCATCACGCATCCAAAGGAAGTGCTATGTCTCCCATGCCTCGAGCATCAGGATTCTAAGCGGTTGGAACAGTGTCCAGGGTGCAATCTTTGGTGTTGCGCAAAGGATAAGTCCTTTTGTACTGGTCGTCCCGTTGGCATCGAGTCCCATCCTTCCTTACGGGGACCCTTCAATATCAAGCTCTGGATTGCCTACTTCAATCACGAAAGGGTTCACTCTCACAAGTCCGAGTCCTGTTTGGAATGCGAGATACCTGGCTGGCGGTCCTGCTCCAACCTATTCTGTTGGTCTTCTCGGATCTGTCCGGAGTGTGCGAGCAGTGGTGTGATGTGTCTGTGCGAAAGAGTGTGGGCTTGCGACCTCTGTGCGAAGTGGACAGACGTCTTCATCCGATGTCCGCGCTGTGACCGACCATTCTGCATCACTTGCTCCTACATCGACCAATGCAAGAAGTGTCACCGCGTGAGCCTGTGCTACGACTGCGCTGAAGAAGCGTCAGATGCAGACGAGGTAATGCCGGCTAAAGTTGCTTCGTCATGTGAGAGCTGTTCGGAAGGTGTGCCAAGGCGTAGGATTTATTCATGGGAGTGGAGGTAAATACTTAACTCAGACTCAGACCAAGGGGTCTGAGCCGGAGGTCACGCGGGACTTAGTGCGTTCACTAAAGCGCTTCCTATGAACGGGACAACTGATTAGATTCGTCCAGGGTTCCGACTGTATGTTTCCCATAGTGTAATTCAAGCTCCACAAAAAATCAGCGCCAGTAGTTTCCCCAGTTCTTTTCTCGTTTTTAAAGCATCGCGTGGAAGTTCGATACAGAACGATTCCGAGGAAATCGGTGTACCTTGACAGGGTCCTCGTACTGTTTTTTTACATGAGCGCAGAACAAGTCCCTTGTCAAAAATGTGACACCCACCACCCAGAACGGCATATCCGATACGACAACCTCAGTACCCTTCGCTCTGCACTTTGCCTTCAATATCTCATAATCTCCGACCAACTGCTCCGCATTTTTGTCACACGTCAGGATTTTAAGGTTTGGAAGTGCGTCCACTGCTTCGATGATAGGTTGGAGCGTCTTGCGGTACATGTGATTGGGATTTCTGAAAGAAAGGTGTTCGATAGTGGGCGGGAGGTCGCGGGCTAGTGGAAAATGTGTGGGCACGTGGTAAATTATCAACTCTTCGAGCGCAGTGCACATACGGAGCAGAGCAGCAGAATAGATATTGTAGTTCGCGAAACGGAGGGAGCGAAGTCGCGGGGCGTGGAGAGAAAGAATAGTTCGATGCGCGAGTCCTGGTACATCTCGCAGTTCTAGGATGCGGAGGGAGTCGGCGGATGATTCAAGCAACCAGGTTAAAACATCCGATGTTGGAAACCTCGACAGGGCAAGCTCATACAAGCGGACCTCTGCACCAGGTCGTTGTGCCAACTCTTCAGCATCGGTATTCCTCCGCAGAACCGGCGTGGCAGCAGTGCGCCATGGCCACGCAGCAATCTCCTTTTCAATTTTGAGGAATTGGATGTTATTCCATATCTTGAGCAGTTGGAAAAGGATCGGTGATTGGAGTCCACACTCCAACAGTGTGAGCGCTTTCAGTTTCCTTCCCACATCCCCCAGCTTCTTCAGTGTCTCCTCCTCGAACTCATGTACTCCAATGATGCTCAGCGCGAGCTCGTACAACCGAGGGCAAGCTTGCAGGAGGATTACAAAGTCATCTGGACTGCATCCGGGTCCCCCATTCGAGGTTCCCCCGATCGATACCTCGAGGATCCGTATGCATTCACCCAAGGCTTTCCCCCTGCCCGCCGAAGAGAGTAGTGCTGCACGAAATATGGGGATATTGTGTCGCTCGAGTTTTGTGGCGCAACGAAAGAGCAGGGTTTGTGCAGGTCCTGACCAGGTCTTGCACACCAGGGCAGCAGCTTTGAGGAGGGTATAGTTCGGGGTACGTAGTGAGGTGTAGTACCCGTGTTCTAAGATACATAAGACAAGTTCAGGAGGAACGAAAGACATCTGGAGAGTTTATCAGCTGAGATATGAATTGCCAGACTCCGATCTGTAGTACGTCACCACCACTGTTTCAATTATTCGAATCAGATATCTATGCAATGATTGAATTGCGGATTTCTGGATTTATGTGACGGTGATGGACCAATGCTTGTTGTACTAGTCAGAGGTTCAGAGGACCCGCAGTGACTCAACAATACCCGGTTATCCGTATAGTCATCTGATTATTACAAGACCAAAGTAATGGTACAGGGCCATCTGACGTACTGCAGCCATCTTGCACCAGACAATCGCAACAATGAGGAAGATTTGGTTCCAAGCTTAAGGACAATGTTCTTAAGTTTCAGCGCAAAAGGATCCAGCTCGGAGATGCCTATACCACTAACACTCAGGAAACTTGAATCAACATTTTCCGATACCATGAATCTAAATAGTCCTGTGGATAGTAAAAAGCGAACAACAACGCATTGCAAGCCGACCTGTAGCAAACTTTTACATGCGAATAATGAGTTGCTTGATCGCAGACATCCACAAGCCAATGTCGTCTGTCTGCGAGCCACGAGTGAGAAGGTCCACGTGGATAGACAACGCAGCGTCTCGGTCATGCGCCTCCATGGCTGTCGAGCAACGCTTGAATCAGGATTGCCCAAGTGTATTGATGGGAGACACATACCTCTTGCCAAAACAAGCAATTGGTCAACCACAGGCTTGGACAACGTTTCGCAATTCAAAGCATCAAATAGAGAATTGATTCGGCGCTCAAGGTCATCCGCCATTCGTCGTTGTTGGGGCTGTGGAAGATGGTCATACAAGAGCTTCGGTCACCGAAGATAATCACATACTTGCGTCGTCTGCTTCATCTGTGTGAGTTGCTCGTTGATGATATTGAAGATGGGCAACGCAGACTCAGGGATATGAGTTCGGTCTCCCAGGGCTAGAATCAAGAATCAGCCACGTGCCCACTGCATCATTAAGAAGACGTACGATATTTTGGTGGCGGTGGACCTTGTCGAGAACGTGGAGGCTGCGT